CTGGAGGCTTTTTCGCAGAGGCTATCTATTGGAAATGCTTTGATTGTGCCTTCCTGCATGGAAGGGGCTTGGACTGGAAGGTCCTTGGGGGTTTCTTCAAATCTTGGATTCCAGGATTATATATCAGGAGTAGGCAATACGGGGTCTAATGGATACACTTTTTCTCTCCCGTCCACCATCTCATCTAACCAAGGCCAACCCTTTCAGGATCCAAATGTTTTCCATCTTTCCTTCACTTTCGGCCTCCAAAAAAGAAGAGGAAGGGGAGGAAAGGGCATGGAGGGGCCTTGGGGAGAAGACCTTTCCTCCTGACCCACCCACTCCATTCTGGCCTGCATGAGGCCCCCAAGTTAGAAATTTTGCCCACGCCTACTCTAACACTGTAGAATTACATCACTTTAACTGCCATGGCTCAATGTTATGGAATCATGGGAAAAGTTTGTAGTTTGGTGAGGCACCAGCACTCTTTGGCAGAGAAGGCTAAAGACCTTGGAAAGTGACGACTAACTTGATTCCATAGCATTGAGCCATGATAAAGTGGTCTCAAGCTACACTAATTCTACAGTGTAGATGCACCCAGATATAAGGTACTGATTATTTAGAGGGAAAAGAGAAATGTGACATGCTTCTGGAACATGGCCATACAGCCTGGAAAACTCACAGCAACCCAACGTGACAGAGTGCTCTGTGAATGACAAAAAACCACAACTAGTTTCACGTTCCTGGAGCTGATCAGAAAACAAACTGTGTCTTGCAAGTTTTTACATCTGGAAAATGAATATCCTAGAGCTACTGATGTTTTCTTGCAAAAATAAATGAAAGCATGTACTTTCATCCATCCCTGTAAAGCTGTGTTTAAAAAGCTTGTATAAACAAACAGACTGATCCATTTATTTCTCCTCCCGGCTTCTGTCCCTATTTGTTTTGTCGGCAGCAGAAGTAGTAGTGAGATGTCATGGTGAAAAGGATTGTGCTTGGACACCCGCCTCCAAAGCCACAGATTAGATCAGCAACTGGGAGAAATCTGCCCCATCTATTACCACCCTCACAGTCAAAAGAAAAGCTTGCAGATAAGGCATTCATAAAGGCTAATAAAAGACTATGAAATGGCAGCACATGCTATATGAAGAGACAATGCTGCACAGCATTTCGTTGATTCAAAGAGGTACATGTGCTGCAACCTTTTGACGCATGTAAAAACCTCCTAGGATGCATCTGCACTGTAGAATTAATGCAGTTTGACACCACTTTACTTATTATGGCACAATGCTATGGAATCATAGACGTTTTTGTTGAGACACCATTACTCATTGGCAGAGGAGACAGAAAACTATTACTCTCATGACTCTATGACATTGAATTAAAGTGGGGCAAGCATTCCTTCTACATCAACCATGTGCAAACTTCAGCCCTCCAGGTGTTTTGGACTTCAACTCCAATAATTCCCAGCAGATGGTAGGCTTTCAGGAATCGTGGGAGTTGAAGTCTAAAACACCTGGAGGGCTGATGATTGCCCATACCTGCTCTAGATGCACCCTTGGAGGCAGAACACTGCCTCAAGTAACTTTGATACCAGTTTCCCACAGGGAAAAATGTAAAATAAGGATAACAGTTGGTGCCCTTCAAGTGGGAGCATACTGCCTTTTTTGCACCACGAAATAAACCATAGAAGTACGCAATTATTTCAGGGAGGGCCCAATCAAAGATGCCATGGTCTCCATGTGTACAGAGGAGGGCGACTAAAATGATCAAGGGTCTGGAGAACAAGCCCTATGAAGAGCGGCTTAAAGAGCTGGGCATTCTTAGCCTGAAGAAGAGAAGGCTGAGTGGAGACATGATAGCAATGTATAAATATGTGAGAGGAAGTCACAGAGAGCAGGGAGCAAGCTTGTTTTCTGCTTCCCTGGAGACTAGGACACTGAACAATGGCTTCAAACTACAAGAAAGGAGATTCCATCTGAACATTAGGAAGAACTTCCTGACTGTGAGAGCTGTTCAGCAGTGGAACTCTCTGTGTGGTGGAGGCTCCTTCTTTGGAGGCTTTTAAACAGAGGCTGGATGGCCATCTGTCGGGGGGGGGGGGGGGGTGTTGAATGCAATATTCCTGCTTCTTGGCAGGGGGTTGGACTGGATGGCCCATGAGGTCTCTTCCAATTTTATGATTCTATGATTCTAACCCTGAGCATGTCTTCGGGTAAATTAAGTGTTAGGAAGAGCTGGCTGTTAATACTAAAGCCTAAGGCAAGCAATGGAAACAAGTGAAGCCAACTTGAGAATAAGAGTACCTCTAAGCCAGGCTGGGGTATGCTTATGGTCTGTGGGAATGTCAGTTCAGTGCAGTCCTTAAGGCCCTTTGGACACCTTCCCTTCCAATTTTATTATTTATTTATTTATTTAAAAATTTTGTATACCGGCCTTCTCACCTCTCTTGAGGGACTCAGACCGGTTTCCAACCATAATATCACATACAATCAATAAAACATCATAATACATATTACAGTAAAACATTAAAACAGCAATTACAATCAATAACTATAATGGTCAGTCGTCACACTAAAATCATTGCTCATCATCCTCCATCCATATCTCTGGGTGTTCGCTCACTCGTCGAATGCCTGTCTCCATAACCAAGTCTTCACCTGTTTCCTAAATGTCAGGATAGAAGGGGCGGTTCCGATCTCCAGTGGGAGAGAGTTCCAGAGTCGAGGGGCCACCACTGAGAAGGCCCTGTCCCTCGTCCCTACCAGACGCGCTTGCAAGGCCGGTGGGACCGAGAGCAGGGCCTCTCCAGACGATCTTAATAATCTTGATGGTTCATAGGGGAGAATACGTTGGGAGAGGTAAACAGGGCCGGAGTCGTTTAGGGCTTTATAGGTTAACACCAGCACTTTGAATTGTGCTCGGAAGCTAATTGGCAGCCAGTGGAGCTGGTGTAACAGTGGAGTGGTGTGCTCCCTGTACCCAGCACCCGTTAGTAGTCTGGCTGCCGAGCGTTGGACTAGCTGCAGCTTCCAGGCAGTCTTCAGAGACTTTTAGCTAAGCTAGCAACAAAACATATGTTTCAACCAAAACTATCCTTCTGTAGACCTTCAAAACATTGAAAGATGCTGTTTAAAAGACTCCAAAAGAACAATGTGGTCCAGCATCCCTTCTGGATGGCACAATGATGCCTGCAAAGGTGTGGATGGGGCCCCGAGATCGGTGAAGCCAGGCATGACCACCTCCACTCTAGACATGTGCAGAACATCTGCTCTTCTTTATTTATCTCACACCTTTTTTCTAAAATACAGAGATAAGAACTTCTGAAGCTTTCTTATTCTGAGTCAGACCCTGGGTTCATTGAACTCAGTGGTTCCCAACCTGTGGTCCGTGGACCCCAGTGGTCCACAAGAACGAAAATATGGTCTGCGGCCTCACAATTACTACATTGTTGCCTCCAAACCATGCGGCAACAAGAGCGCTTAAGCGGCTGATGGGGAAAAGGAAGCAGCCCGAGGCTGTTAGGAATGCTAGGAGTTGAAATCCAAAACACCTGGAGGAAGGGCTCAAGCTTGTCCATGCCTGGATGAGAGTAATGGAGGAGCACTACACCAAAGTCACATAGGCTTGCCAACCATTTGGATTGGGTTCTTTGGCCTATCAATATTCTAGTCCCCAAATCATTACACATGCAGGCATCACTGCTGGTGTACAACACCCAGAAAGCACGACTTCTAGAGCAGTGTTTCTCAACCTTCCTAATGTCGTGACCCTTTAATACACTTTCTCATGTTGTGGTGACCCCCAACCATAAAAATATTTTCATTGTTAATTCATAACTCTGATTTTGTGACTGTTATGAATCGTGATGTAAATATCCAATGTGCAGGATGTATTTTCATTCACTCAACCAAATTTGGCACAAATCCCCGATACACCCAAATCTGAATACTGGTGGGGTTGGGGGGGAGGGTTATTGATTTTGTCATTTGGGAGTTGTAGTTGCTGGGATTTATAGTTCACCTACAATCAAAGAGCATTCTGAACTCCACCAACAATGGAATTGAACCAAACTTGCCACACAGAACACCCATGACCAACAGAAAATACTGGAAGGGTTTGGTGGGCATTGACCTTGAGTTTGGGAGTTGTAGTTCACCTACATCCACACTGTGGACTCAAACAATGATGGATATGGACCAAATTTGGCATGAATACTCAATATGCCCAAATGTGAACACTGGTGAAGTTTGGGGAAAATAGACCTTGACATTTCGGAGTTGTAGTTCACCTACAATCATAGAATCCCACTAACGATAGAACTGGGCCAAACTTCTCACACAGAATCCCCATGACCAACAGAAAATACAGTGTTTTCTGATGTTCATTGGCGACCCCTCTGACATCCCCTTGCGACCCCCATAGGGGTCCCGATCCCCAGGTTGAGAAACACTGTTCTAGAGCTTAGCATTCCTTTCCTAAGGCTTAGTGATGCAAACAACTAATGGCTCATATCCCCATTGGCAAACCTGGAGGGAAATAAGGATCTTGAAGCACTTTTAACTCAAGTAGGGCATCCTCCATCTGCGCTGGACTACCCTGCCCATCATCCTGGGATGATGGGGATTGCAACTCACCTGGAGAGCAGCAGGTAAAAGGCATGCAAGAACTATGGGGGAGAAAGGGGTTGACGTTTCTGCAGCCCTCGTAAAGATTTACTAGGAGTGTGATGGCAAAGTGGGTTGGCTACAACAAGGCAAGTTAATACAGGAGTCTCTCTCCATGGGAGTATCTACACGGTAGAGTTAATGCAGTTTGGTACCACTTGGACTGCCATGGCTCAATGCTATGGGGGAAAAATTGAAGTTGTAGTGTGCTATTGCTCTCTCCCTCCTTCCTATCCATCTTTGGGGAGGAGAAAACGGGAAATCGGTTACTAAAGAGTGCAATTTGCTCCGCTCCATCCCGGCGTGTACACGTGTCCCTGCGTTCACACCCAGACGCGTGTCCCGCCTCCTTACCTCCGCGTCCTTGGCATCTCCGGCGTTTCTGCAAACCAATTCGCTCCTTTCGAAGTCTTTTGGGAGACGAGAGCTGCTGCTCTCCTTTCCTCTCCAAATCTGAACCGTTCTTGGCCTGTTGATCAAAGATGCCACGGGGCCATTGAGGGGGGGTCTCTGCAGTGGTATCCCTTCTCCCTCAAACACCCTCCTTTCCCAAAATGCAGAAAGGAAGCGGCAAAATGCGGGTCAGGAGCGAAACGTCCGCACACAGGCGCAGCCGAGCGGTGCTCATCCACGCCGCCTTCTCGCCTTCGCTTTTGTAAAGCGGGAGGAGGCGGCTCTACGGCGCCACCTTCAGGCCGCCCGTCTTCATGGCGTCCTCTGCTACTGGAACCCATCCAAAGCGAGCTGACAAGAGAGTGCAATTAGAGAGCGTGAATAAATGCAGTTTGACATCTCCTGGACTGCCATGGCCCAGGACAATGGGATCCTGAGAGTTGGAGTTTGGAGAGGCACCAGCACCAAGGGTCTGGAGAACAAGCCCTATGAGGAGCGGCTTAAGGAGCTGGGCATGTTTAGCCTGAAGAAGAGAAGGCTGAGAGGAGATATGGCCATGTATAAATATGTGAGAGGAAGCCACAGGGAGGAGGGAGCAAGCTTGTTTTCTGCTTCCCTGGAGACTAGGACGCAGAACAATGGCTTCAAACTACAAGAAAGGAGATTCCATCTGAACATGAGGAAGAACTTCCTGACTGTGAGAGCCATTCAGCAGTGGAACTCTCTCCCTGGAGTGTGATGGAGGCTTCTTCTTTGGAAGCTTTTAAATAGAGGCTGAATGGCCATCTGTCAGGGGTGATTTGAATGCAATATTCCTGCTTCTTGGCAGGGGGTTGGACTGGATGGCCCATGAGGTCTCTTCCAACTCTATGATTCTATGATTCTGGTCGCTTCTGGCTGACTGGCACCACCTGAAGATCACAACCAGATACAGTGAAGACATCTGCCTTTGAGCTTTGCTACTCTGCTGCTGAGTATGCATGCCCTGTGTGGAACACATCTCACCACGTTAAAACAGTGGGTGTGGCTTTTAATGAGACATGCCACATTATCACAGGTTGTCTGCGCCCTACATCACTGGAGAAATTACACTTAGCTAGTATTGCACCACTTGACATCCACCGGGAAGTAGCAGCCAATAATGTGTGCAGATCCAAGTAAGGAAGGAGCTTGAGGTGGCCTTTTGCAGCTGGCAGATCATAGATTTGTCAGTGGCAATTGTGTTTAAGTGCAGGCCAAGGTCTTTAGGCATGGCACCCAGTGTACCGATCACCACTGGGACCCCCTTGACTGGCTTGTGCCAGAGTCTTTGCAGTTCAATCTTAAAATCCTCATATCATGTTAGATTTTCCAGTTGTTTCTCTTCAATCCTCCTGTTGCCTGGGATTGCAACAGCGCCTCTGAGGATGCTTGACATAGATGCAGGTGAAACGTCAGGAGAAAATGCCTCTAGAACATGGCCATCTAGCCCAAAAAAACCCCTACAACAACCCAGTGATTCCAGCCATGAAAGCCTTTGACAATATCAGCCACTGATTGAAGTTCTGGGTTTTAACCTACCACTTTTGGATTCTCGATTGCTTAGGTGTTTCTGCGAGTATCTCTGTAGATCTTAGGAAGCTGTTTCTTGATTTAAGATATTGGCACAATGGCTGATATCCGAACAGAGGATGGGCCGGAGATGTTAGTGCTTTGGTCCTTTCATTGCTGCCTACTACTTCCCGATGAATATCAGGTGGTGCAATACCAGCTAAGCAGTATAATTTCTCCTGTGGTGTTGAGCATAGACATCCTGTGATAATGCGGCATGTCTTATTAAGAGCCACATCCACTGTTTTAATGTGGTGAGATGTATTCCACACTGGGCATATATCTTCAGCAGAGTAGCAAAGCGCAAGGGCAGATGTCTTCACTGTGTCTCGTTGTGATACCCAGGTTGTGCCAGTCAGCTTTCATATGATATTATTTCTAGCACCCACTTTTTGCCTGAAATTCAAGTAGGGCTTCTTATAAGTCAGGGTATGGTTCAGGGTAACTCTCAGGTATTTGGGTGTGCTGCAATGCTCCAGTGGGATTCCTTCCCAGGTAATCCTCAGAGCTCAAGATGCTTGTCTGTTCTTAAAATGAAAAGCACACGCCTGCATTTTAGTTGGATTAGGAATCAGCTGGTTTCCCCTGTAACAAGCAGTAAGGGCACCTAAAGCTTCAGAGAGCTTCTGGGCAACCATTTCAAAACTCCCTCCGTGAGCAGTGATGGCATGATAATCAGCATGGATTAAACTCTCTGTCCCTTCTGGGAGTGGCTAATCATGTAAATGTTAAACATTGATGGAAAAGCATGCTCCCCTGAGGCAGGCCATTCTTCTGTTTTTGTCATCTGCTTCTCTGGCCCTGGAAGTCAACAAAAAAGCTCCTGTTTTGTAGCAGATATCCCAGGTCTGGTGATGTCCTCTTTTTGTACAGCAGTTAGATTGTTCATCTTTATAATGAAAGATACTTATTGGCATGTTTCTCTATGCAGAAGTATCGTGTCAGAGATGTTTATGAATAATCCATGGCTTTAGAACTACAATATATACACACGGGGGGGGGGGGGGGGAGAGAGTTTAGCTGCAAATATATTTTGGTTTATTCCAGTTTCAGTGTCCCAGCTGATTAATTTTTATTTGTGCTTTGATTTCCAGCATCTCTATGGAAGTAGTTTCTTCAACAATCCATCAACAAAGTTAACAGGGAAATGCTTTCTGGTTCATCTCCAGGGGAAATTTTCTTTGCGAATTGGTGAAGCATCATTTTCAATTGAACCATTTTGTATGTCATAATACTTCCTTATTCTGACTTGTGATGGGACAGCTTTTAGCAATCACAGCAAATAGTTTACTCTGAGAAAAATATCATTACAGGATAATTGTTTCAGGTTTTATTGTCTCTATGTTTGGGTTTTCTTTCTCTTTTTTGGCAATGCACTGTATTTCTCTGGTATGTCTCCAATGAGTATTCATTTGAGCAATATCTCTAATACATCTGCAGTTCAGTTGTAAATGACTTTACACATCGAAGCGGATTGCTGAGTGTTTAACGGGATCATTGAAGGCCTTTAGATCTGGAATAAAATTCCGCATTTCATATGCCATCCAAGTTTGCAATGTGCATTTTGAATCAGAAAGCAAAATTAAAATGTGAAAATTGTTCACTATAGGCTGCTATGGATTTATGGTCACTCCCTGCATGCTTTGACTTTAGTAAGAGCCAAATGTGTGTAAATGAAAGCTCAGAAACTGTCAATATATCCAATATGGTCAGAGGACAATGCCATTGCATGTCAGCCAGCAAATACTATCAAAAATTGATGTCATTGCATGCTTGTGTTGACATATTACCGGAACTAATTATTGAATATTAAATGTCAAAATACAGTGATGTTAAATATCAGATATTATATTACATCAGATATAAGATATTGTATTTGACAGGCAACATGGAATAGTGCTCCAAATTGCCAATAAAAATACAGTGATACTAAATATCAGTTTCTCACTGATATAAGATACTGCATTTGGTGACATGGAATAGTGCTGGCTTGCATCAATATTTCCTATGGACCATAATCCATAGCACAACCATTACATGTCACCTTTCAAATACAATCCAATGAATTATGATCCACCATGGGATAAAAATGAATGACACACTTTCTGTAAGGGTAGGTTCATAATAAAATGTTGGAAAGTTTACTGAATGCTGAATAAAGCAACAACTTGATACTCCAATGAGCGTGAAACAGGAACCTTATAGCACTGGAGTTGCAAAGCCTGAAGAAACAAAGGGAAACTGTTTTCTGCTTAGCAAAAAAAGAAACATTTGTTCTTTTTCATCTCCTCCCTTTCATACTTTTTATATATTTTAGGAAGCAAAGTATTTAAACCTCATGGTGTATATACTCTTCTTGACATCAACTCTCACAGATCCCTGAAATTGTTAAGAGATGAACCAAACAACACACCTAAACACTCCTCTTTCTGCAGCTTCCAGATGCACTGAGTTCTTATCCTATTTTTAAAGTATAGCCTTATTTTCATATGATGTAATATACTTCATTCCATAGCAGGTCCTTTGTATTTTCTGAGGTTTGCTTCCAGGACCTCCTTCAGATGCCAAAGTCCTTGGATGCCTAAGTCTCATTATATACAATAGTATAGTAAAATGATTTGATTTTGGGATTTTTTATTTAAAAAATCAAGCTGCGGGTGATGGAACTTGTAGAAATAGAATCCATTGATATGGAGGGCCACATAGTGCAGATTGTAGTTTGGTGAGGCACTAGAGCTTTCTGACTGAGAATTTCAAATACCCCACGTGAAACTGAAAAACACAGGTTGCCATAAGATGTTACCATTGCAATTACAGTGGAACCGTGGCACTATGATTGTATGGTGTGAAAAGGCTCAAAGATTACTGAGTGTAAGCAAGTCCTGGAATGTTTTAGAATCATAGTATCATGGAGCTGGAAGAGACCTCGTGGACCATCCAGTTCAACCCCCCTGCCAAGAAGCAGGAAAATCACATTCAAAGCACCCCTGACAGATGGCCATCCAACCTCTGTTTAAAAGCCTCTAAACAAGGAGCCTCCACCACACTCCAGGGCAGAGAGTTCCACTGCTGAACAGCTCTCACAGTCAGGAAGTTCTTCCCAATGTTCAGATGGAATTGCCTTTCTTGTAGTTTGAAGCCATTGTTCTGCATCCTAACTACAAGAAAGGATATTCCATCTGAACATTAGGAAGAACTTCCTGACTGTGAGAGCTGTTCAGCAGTGCAAAACCCAGGTTGCCATAAGATGTTACCATGGCAATCATAGTGGAACCATAGCACTATGATTTTATGGTAAGGGCTCAAAGATTAGTGACTGTAAATAAGACCTGGAATGTTTTATTCTCAATGATCTGACATATCTGTGGCCAAGGGTAGGATTCCAGACTTCAGCTCAGATTCATAGAGTCATACAATTTTTAAGTGGGACAAGACCTTAAGAACCATATAGACCAACTTCCTACTATACAGAAATAAACAAAGCAGTCCTGAAAGATGACCATCTACCTTCTATAAAAAGACCTCTAGAAAAGGATAGTCTGCCACTCTTTGAGACAGTTCATTCACCTTCGGAACAGCTCTTACACTTTAAAAAAATGACTTTCTCCCCTAATGTTTAGGTGCAATATGTTCTCCATTTGTGTTCTATTCTCTCGAATCACAA